AGGGGGGGGGGGTATGAGGAAGTTGAAAGGCACCGGAGCTGGAGCAAGAGGTCGAGAGGGAGGAGGAAGGCTAGGCCGAATAGCTGCTGCCCGACGGCGAGACAGCCCCATTGTCCGTGCGCTGACAGCGAGACCAACCTCGCCGCCACGCCACCGTCGTCTCTCAGGCAGCCGACATGTGAGAGGGGAGGCAATTGGCCGTCGGCGACGGACAGTCGCGTCTCGTGTCAGCTCACGGAGATGGTGGTGGAGCCGCGCAGATAGTTTTCCGAGGGGGGAGACCTGGATGGAGGGACTCGGCCCTGGGACGCCGAAGGGTGAGGACGTCTGGAGTGCACCGCACGCCCCTGCGTCTGGCGGGGCCTGAGGGCTCGCTCCCCGCCAGACGCGCGCGGAGGCGGTGAAGGCGCTCCGCTCCGCACCGACCGAGACGGGGCCGAGCCATCTAAACCACAGTTTGTTGTCTTCTCTACGTTTGTGTCAAAGTGCAGTGATCAGTGCAGTGCAGTAACGAGATGGGTGAGTGCGGTGCAAGTGTCTGTGTTGTGCAAATGTCTAGAAATGTAAGTTGCCCGTGGGGGTAATGCACGGCGTGCCGGGGAGCGCCGCCTGGTGCCCCCCGCCCCCCTCCTGTCCGTGCCGTCGATGGGCTGGGCACGGGCCGGCCGCCGGAGTGGGAGGGGTTGCGGCTGGACGCCCGCTGACCCCTCGACAGCGGACGTAGCTGGGGTAACATACCAGCGGTAAGGCACAACAGAGTGCGTGGTTCGTGGGGGACCCCATAAACATTGCTGATATGCGTATGTGTCCTTGTATTTGGTGTTTGGCAGGTGTTTTTAATTACAGCATCCCACCGTCATTGTCCCTCTTTCTTTGTGCAAGTGTAGCTGCGACTAATGGGTGGGGGGGGGCAGCCGAGGCCCCCTCCCCCTCCCGCCCCTGCCCTGCCGCCCGGGCCGGGCCGGGCTCGACCGTGTCGAATGTCTGTTTTCTTTCAACTTGACATGGAGGGTGGGGGGCCCCAGCCGCCCCCTCCCAGCGATGCTAGCCTAAACATGGTTAAAGGGCCACTCCTTTACCCACTTGCAGCGCTTATGCCCCTTTACCCACTTGCAGCGCATATGCCCTCCCAACGTGAGTGTCTTAACGTTCTTGTTCTCTTCCCCTGCTTCCCGCCCGTCACCCGCTAAACCCTTCCATCCCAAGGCGGCCGGCCACCGTCCCCCCGCACAACTACCTTTCGGGCCGAGTAATGTTGGCCAGTGGGCCGTCCAGCACTGCCCACCTGCACTATTGCCCCCCCACCCCACCCCCCCTCACTATCGCCCTAGCCCGTCCCGGCAGTCATATGGGGCTGCCACCCAAGCAGAGCAGAGCGCAGCTCGGCTCCCCCCCCCCTCCCTCCCGCTCGCCCACGCCCTCCCAATTCCTGGAAGGCTGCCCCAGCCGGGCCACACCACCATGCAGCGCCTAGCTGCTCCCCCTCCCCCCTGCCAGCCCCCCTCGCTCAGCCCAGCCACACCGACTCCTGCGTCGTGGGCATTCCCTCCGGGCGTACCACCGCCCGCTCCCTAGGCGCGGCCACCGCGGTACCATGCAAGGTACCAGCACACCCTCTGTCCCATAGGCACTACACCCGTATCCCTTCCCCGGGCCAGCTCTGTTACAGCTCAGTTACAGGTGCCAACTCGCGGGACCGACCATCGCACCTCGACAGCCCAACATCACGGATGGGGATGAGCGCGTAGCCGAGCGCGTAGCACAGGGATGGGGCCACTAGGCGCGCCGGCCGGCCTGGCAGCAGCGCAGCCGGGCAGGCCCGGAC